ACCACCGCCGCCTCCCCCTTCGGCTTCTGCTGCGGTCGACGAGTGCTCCTCGAGGGCGCGCACGCACTCGGCGTGGCCCTTCTCCTTGGCCCCCTGCAGGGCCGTCTTGCCGTCAAAGGTAAGCGCCGCATCTGCACCCGCCCGCAGCAAACGCCGCACGACGGCGGGGTGGTCCCAGCCGGTGGCGAGCATCAGCGCGGTGCCGCCGCCGTTGCTCTGCAAGTTGATCTCCGCGCCGTGCCGCAGCAGCAGCTTGACCACCCGCTCGTGGCCGTACACGGCGGCGCCCATCAGCAGCGTGAGGCCGCTCGCGCCGCCTCTCTCGTACGTCGCCGGTGACTGCCACGCCACCGCTCAACGCCCGCCCCGCCGCCCCCGCTGGAGATAGCGTCTCCGCGACTCTCGATCCAGCCGAGGAAGCGCCGCAGGAAGCGCCGCCTGCGCCTTCGCCGCCGGCTGCCTTCGCCGTGGGCCGTCCCGCCACCACCTCCTGGACGTGCTTCTTGAAGGCCTCAACGCACTCGGCGTTGTCCTTCTCCTTGGCCTGCTGCAGCGCCGTCTTGCCGCTCGCACCGCGAGCCACGGTGTCTGCGCCCGCCCGCAGCAAGCGCCGCACGACGGCGGGGCGGTTGAGGAGGGCGGCGTACATCAGTGACGCCATTTCTGCCCTGCAGGTTGACCTCAGCGCCGTGCTGCAGCAGCAGCTCGACCACCCGCTCGTGGCCATTGCGGGCGGCGCCCATCAGCAGCGTCATGCCGCTCACGGCGCCTCTCTTGTACGTCGCGTCGACCCGCCCGCCGCTGTCGAGCCACGCCAGCACCGCCTCCTCCTCGCCACGCTCCACCGCTAGCAAGGCCACTGCAATGGTGCCAGACACCATTGGGTTTGGATGCTTTTTTGAGGTACCCCTAATTGACGCTATTCTGACTGGGTTGTAACAAAGTTTGAACCACACGCGCGGCGCGAGGCCTTGCGCCCCATGCGGTACGGGGCCGTGAAACCCATCGCCTGGGGGTGCTAGGACACCGAGAGACATGATCCAGAAGTGCCAGGCACACCCACAGTGGTCAACACGAGAACGCCGAAATCGTGACCTCGGAACGCGGTCACGGCAAATCTGACTAATCTGTAACAACCGTTAATACGGATGGCTCACGCTGGCGCATGGCCTCGCCGCTGCTACCCTCCCGACCTCAGGTGAGCAGACAAGATCCCCTGAGCTGCCGGCGCTCTCTGATCGCCCGGATCGCAACGGCCGTGGCAAAACTGCGAGCTCCCGAGGACGTCTGGCGCCGAGTGCGTCTGGCACCGGGCACGGAAGCTCGCACTCGGCCGCACGCGATAGTGCTGCCGCGAGAGCGCCTGCCAGGTACGACATGTCTCGTGTAGACTCCTCCTGGGTCATGGTCGGTCATATGCAGGACGGCCAGAGTCGCCCACATCGCCTACGCGGTCCCGAGTGTGGTCAGGCTGATACACCGCGACTCAACGGTTGAGTGCGGCCAGCGCACACAAAAGTCGTCGACTGCGGCCTGGCGCGGTGATCATAGGTGCTGGAGACCAGGCAGTATGAGCCTGTAACTGGGCACGCATGAACTCGGTACCTACATTCGCAGAGGCCCGGCAAGGATGGGATCTAGTAGAGTGATTGCGCACTGAGACCGTGCTCCGTGGGTCGCTGGAATGACCTGAAAGGCATCCTCAGTGCCGCTGCTCGACTCTCCAGTGTCACAGCCGATGCCTGTGACCTGGTCACCGCCGCACGCAGGTTGAGATCCGCGCCTCCTCGGGTGTGCCCTCATAGACAGCCTTCGGCGGCGCGTAGCGACGCGAGAGCCGCTCCTACACAGGCGTGTACGGTGAACCACCGACGGATAGAGCACAGATCTATGGTCACGCCGGCAGCCTCTGAGGTCGAGACGAGGCTGCCGGCGTCGCCGCTGCAGCTCTGGGCATCACCTGCACAAGCCAAGCAGACTTTGTTACAAAAGCGGAGGCGTGTCGACGCGCCGCGCGCTCACATACTTGGGCTCCCATCTCGTCGCGCGCGAGTCAAGGCCGAACCGACTAGCTGCCGCCGCGGCGGGTGTGGCTGGGCTGCAGGCAGGCCTGTGGCCGGCGCTCGGCAACCTGTGGCGCGGCGCCGGCGCAGCGCTTGTTACAAATTCGGCGTGTGAGTCAGATTTCTTTCGCGAGTCAGAATAGCGTCTATTGCGGGTAGGGGCTCCTCACCGCGGGCTGAGTTGGCAAGGTAAGAGGAATGATCAGAATGGCAAGGCTCGGAATGCGTTCTCAGAACGTTCAGAACACCGGCCGCTGGGCCCGCCTGAGGCGCTGAGACCCGGAGCCTCTCTCTCGGCACTAGCAGCAGACAGAGGCAGGGCGGTAAGCCGTCATTGCCCGGCGCTGCTTGCAGCGCTCTGGGTGGTAGTGGCGGCGCTCCAAGAGTGGTGCTCTTGGGAAGAGGTTCCTCCTTTCCGCTCCCCCCCCGCAAGGCGCGAGACACAGGCACAGGGACAGTGACGCGGCTCATCAGTCCTCCCTCAGCCCGACCTCGGACGGAAGACTAGGGATCCCTTATATAGATGTTAAGTGTGGGTTAAGAGGGAGATTCGCGCGAGCTGCGGGACCGCCGGGACGGGTCGCCCTAGCTTCCCCGGATCCCTACAAAGGTCGCAGGAATGATCAGAAAAGCATCCAGGCGGCACCGGCCCTACGACTCGGACCGTGCCACAGCCCATCCCCCCAAGCGCCAAGGCAGCCCACCGCCCACCGCCCGGCCCCAGCCGGTCCGACCTCTTCACACGGCGACGATTGCGCCGCCGGCCGCCGCTGCCAGGGCCGCCGCCTCCGTCGGCGCCAGAACAGGCTCGAACAGCAGCCACGACTCGTACTCTGCCGACGGCGAGCCGTCGTACATCGACGACTCGAGCGAGAGGTCCGTCGCCGCGCCGTTGTCAACGTCGAACTTGGCGACGAAGTTGACGCGGTCACGCTCGATCGTGCGCCGGCCGTCGTTCACCTTGGCCGTAACCGTGCCCACGCACCAGCCGTAGTGCTCGAAGCGGACCATGATGCGCTGCTCGATGAGCGCGTCGCTGGCCGGGTTGGTCGGGTCGAGCTGCTCCTCCGTCGGCGAGGCCGCGACAACCTTGAACCCGTCCGGCACGAGCAGCGGCGCCTCCACCATGCCCAGCACGTCCCCCGCGTCCTCAAAGGTCACGAGTGGCTCCTCATGCTCCGCTTCGGGTATTTTTCGGGGATACCTGAGAATTCTCGGGTATACCCGGGTTTTACCCGGCCGGCCACCTGGGTCGGTCCGAGGGTGTTCCAGGAATGATCAGAATGGCGAGGGCCAGAACGTGTTACATGTACTAGTCAGAACGGACCCCAGTTGCCGATCCTGCCAACTCAGCCCGCGGGGGTCCAAGACAGGCCACTTACGGCTATCAATAGACGACACGCGCTGTAGTCGGCTGCTAGATCTAGACATAGCCGCGCATCTGCAGCAGCAGCTGCTGCTGCACCGCGGGCTCGACGCGAGCGTAGTGCGAGAACTCCATCGAGAGCGAGGCCTCGCCGGCTGTGAGCGAGCGCAGTGCACTCGCATACCCCACCATCGCGGCGAGCGGCGCGCGCGCGAGCACCGTCTGCCGCAGTGCGTCGGAGGGCGTGAGCAGCTTCTCGACGGAGCCGCGGCGGGCGCCTGTGCCATGAATATCGCACTCGCCTCTTCCCGGGACCCAACGCTTCCTTCTGACTGACATCGCTGTCTCTCCCTTCTCGACTGTCTGTGCCTGTGCGTCTTGGGCCCGGGGCTGTGTTTTGCAACGCGACACGGTCAGGGTGAAGAGACGGTCAGGGTGAAGAGACGGTCAGGGTGAAGAGACGGTCTCGTGCCGTGCAGTCGGAGCGCCGCGTGAGCATGAGGGCTACGAGGAGAACACGTGCCGTTGGGTGCCGCCGAACAACATGTGCATGTGCATGTGCTTACTCGAGCGCCGGCCGGAACACGCGGGCCCGGCTTCCGCATCTAGGAGAGAGGGGGCGCCAGTCAGCTCGCTGAGCACTGCGCCGAGGTGCTGCTCGGCGGTCTGCACCTAGAGGGGTGGGACGGCGGCCCGTCACGCCCAGCCCAAGCCTCCGAATGAGACGGGCTGCCCGACTCTGCACCTCGACGCGCATGACCGGCTCGAGAAGCACCGGCGACGCCGCAGCGACCGCCTGAGACAGACAGACTCGGACTCGCCTCTCAAGTCCCTCGGTCTCCATCTCTCCCCCCACCGACCTCCTCTAACCAGCGGCCGCCTGAGACAGCGCCTCGGCAGCCGCGCCGCCGATCGCCTCTGGCGAAGTGCCCCGCGGCGCAGTGACGCTCGAGACCTCGGCGCGCGCCGCGTGAAGCGGGAAGCCGAGGAGGTCGCCGTACGCAGCGGCGCCTGCACAGGGGGGAGGGGGGGGGGGGAGAGGGGGGGTGGGAAGGGGGTTCCGAGTAGGGGGGGGGCAGAATGGG